AGACCCAACTGCAGAGATTTAATGCTACACATTAAAGGAAAGTTTTGATTGATGGTGAAAAAGCTACATTCAGTGTTGACTGGATCTAAAATTATTTTTTGTTCTACCCTTGGAACTAAATGAATGAACTGTTTTACACTAATCTTTTGTCAACTTTTGTGGCTTCAGCACTGGGAACGAGCTTCGTAATGCCGCTGTGCCGGGTTCAATCACAGCTGTGAGCCTTTCATTGGTTTCTACAGTGGTATCGAGAACCCTACCATTCGGAAAGAAATGGCAAACTACTGGACGTACATTTGCCTAGAAAAACTGCAAAAGCTAAAAATTGCTAGGATTGGTTCTTAAATGTCCTGTAAAGGATACACAACTAACCCTAATCTCCTTCAGTAATGTTTTCTTACATCCCAACGTGTCAGCTCATTAGATTAAATGAAAGGGAGATAGAGGGTGTTAGAACTGGTTAGTAAAGTAGATGTTAGTAATAACATTTCACTCAGCCCAAGCAGGTTACTAACATTTCACAGTGTGTAAGCAAGTTACTATTATTTCCCACAATGTGATGTAAGCAGATATATCTATTCATACAAGAGTTGATTCACAATACATATAATTGCCAACAAATTAAACACACAATAGAAATAATGATTTGTAAGCATAATTGTGAGAGCTGAATACACAAAACTGCATTAGTTTACAGACCAGGTTTACACACAAAAAAACACAGAAAAAAAAACATCTTTAACAATGGAGTACCTAGAAAGTATTGAAGGTAACACAATTTTTGTTATGCATTATTTTGTGGACAATTTTGTAACAGATTTAAAAAAAAACAATATTTAAGCAAAAACCCCACCAAGCATTACCTCTCAGTAAGTAAAGGTAAAGAAAAGGACCCTTTTCCACACTTTTAGCCGTTTAGGGCATATAGGGCTAGACCAATATTTTATAGACCAATCGGCACAAAATGGGGGATGTGGTCAGTATCACACTGGCCGCCTCTACCTACCAGGACTGCACCCGGTACCCACTCAAGGGTGGGTGGACCTGGGATCCAAAGTTGTTTCTGAAAAAAGTCCAGCTCCAACAGGAAGCGAGCCCATGACCTTCCGATCCATGGCGAGCGTTTAGCCGCTCCGCCACAGCGATCCTGTATTACCTCTCAGTACAGAATGTAATACTTGGTGGGGTTGAAGTGTGCCTAACTAAAGCTGAATGAAGTTTATGGGATTTGTTTCTGCTAGTGATGAAAACAGAGGTGGCTACAGTCAAAGTGACATCAAGAAATTAGTTAACATGTTTGCATCCAAGAACAAGTTTTGGATCAATCACCGAACTGTGACTAACGAGCCTTGAAAAGGCGGGAAGGGGAAAAACACAGTACAATTGAACATTTCAGCAAAAGCCTTTATTGACAAACACCACAGCAAAAGAAGATCCTAAAATACTGGTCAAGAATTCTCCTCCTTTTTTTTTTGTTGTGTTTGTCAACAAAGACTTCCGGTCAAAATGGACGCTAGGCAGCGGCACTGTTCGAAACAGAGGCACATTTTTAGCTTCTGCCAGACGGTGGCCGATGCATTTTTGCTCCATTTGTAGACTGGATATAGTTTCGTCGCCCAGCTTCTGAGTTGAATGCATGGCGTGACCCTGTGAGCTGCGGATTGCATTTGAGTGTTCTTTCGACTGTGACCAACGTGTTGGTGTGAATTGTAGATTCAGAAAATGGCGCGATGCCTGTCGTGCAGTGTTGTGGTGCCTGTATGTGATTAAAATTGATCGCATGGGCAACTGCTGATCTGTTGGCGACTTCTGCTACCATCAATGATGAACTGCAATTCTAATACTGTGATAAACATTCTGTGTTTCGTTGGCACGGGAGCGGAGCAAAGATGGGGTGACCCGTTTGCTATGAAGCTGAAACTAAGACTACCAGACTATCAACAAAGGCTTCTGCTGAATTGTTTTATTTTTTCAGTGTTGTTGTGTTTTATTTTTCTTTCCCTCTTTTATTAACTCTTTTCATCTGCGAAGGTTACAGCTGATGTGTCTGTGAGTCAATAGTGAAATCAGCAAAATAATCGGTATACTGTGTCCACATGACCCAAACACACATACATGAGGAAGGCAAAGTTTGTTGTTGAGTGTTTTAGCTTGCCCTAACTAAACATTAAATGCACAAGCATATTAATATGTTAACCGTTGCATACGAGTGCCTTGTTTGGGAACTAAAAGAGTTAAGCTTCATAGTCATGTGTTCCTGTTAAGTGGCATTTGGACTGTGACTCCAAGAATCTATGTGTAACTCAGACTTTCATGCAAAGATTTGTAATGATAATATATCAGAAAGAGAAGCAAATGTCTTACCAATTAACATCCATATACTAAACCGAGCCCAGGTCATAGCAGAGAGTTTCAACATCAGGTAGATGTTGATGAATACACTGACTGCTGGCAGTAGCGGCACAAATGGAACCTGGGGGGGAAATAATTTACTTTGTTACTTCTTTATATATCTTGATATGTTCTTCTTCTTCAAGTCCATGCTGTGTGGCGTTGGTAGTTGTTATGTCTATCCACTCTATCCACAACCTTCTGTCTCGTGTACATTCAATCAACTCTGACACACATGATCCTCCATGCCGTGATGTCAGACTGTCAAGGATCTTTTCTCTCAGTCTCCCTCTGCCTCTCCTTCCCTCAACATTCCTAATGTCATGATGCACTCCAGTTTTTCATCCTCATCACATGACCAAAGAATGTAGATTGTCTCTTTCTGATGTAGGCAATCAGTTCTCTTTGTGAGTCAGTTTCTTTCAAGACATATTCATTACCCTTTTTATCTGTCCAGGATATTCTCCTCTTTCATCTATAAAATCACATCTCTTCAGCTTCCAAATAAGTTTTTACTAATTTACCAACTGTCTATGATTCACTTCTGTTTAGCTTTATATAGCTTTTAAGAATTCTCTTTCTCATCTTGAGATGTTAATCTGAATATATTTAAAGTAGTGGTTTCTTACCTGAGGGTGCAAGGAGGTTTCTAGGGGTGGTGTCAAGCAATTTTTAAAGTGAGTATATTTGTACTTGTAATAATCTGTTATACTTAAATTTTGTTTTAGTTTAATTATAAATAAAATATGTTTGAAACTATTGTATTTATTTATTTAAGAAAATGATGAGGACATTGTATATTTTATGAGCAGTTTGTACATCTGCCCTTAAAAATCTAAATAATATGATAACACGCACATTTAGTTATAGATTAAGAACACATTCGGATTAAAACTATCTTGATGCTTTCTCTTTTCCTATTGTGGAATCCATTTTTCTCCTCCTTTTAATCACATTTTTTTGCTAGGGATGGAGGGGGGGGGGGGGGGAATCTTGCAATACATAGGATGGTAAACTAGATGGTATTAACCCTACCAGACCGCTGGCCCGGTTTACCGGGAACTTCTTAACCAGTCTCTATACCGCTGGCTCTAATTTTCGGCTTTTTGCATAGTACGGGACAACGATGCGTCACGGACTCAAAATAACCACCTAATTGTTATCAATCCTCTTTGTTAGATATTGCAAATGTCTGCCCTCATGTGTGGATTATGTTTGTGTTGTTTTATGTTAAAAAATTATGAACATTCACAATGAAACGAGGGGCTGATGAACCAAGTTCTAGGCTTTTCACAGTCCAACAGGTGATCGATTTTTTTGGTTTATTCAGACTCTGTGATACATATATATATTCATTATCTGTGATAATTTCATAAAGAATACATTCTTGAAAGTGACACGGTCAGTGAGAGCGTGAATGATGAGGAAAATCTTGAAATTATAAATCTTGAAATAGATCGATAGTAGGAGAAGGGGGTGTGTCCATTAAACAGCAACATCTGGTGTTCACTTTGTGAAACAAAGTTGATTCTGATGAGTGAATTCGCACACAAAGGTGGAATTTTGGCGCTAGATAAAAGGTGAGCCTATTTTCTACAATGTCTCAGAGTATCTTTATATTCTAGCCACTCATTTGCATGTAACTAATATTTTTATATATCATGTTAGTTTTTTCGCGGTAATGCCTAGGAGCTCAGGTTATAGGGACAGTTAGGTTCAGGGCCTCAGGTCTGGTAGGGTTAATGTCTTTGTCTCTTGGTGGGTTAAGTCACTATTTGATTTTACCATGTAACTGCCGCTCCTGGCCAATCTGGTGACCTGTGTCAAATGGGTTTTTTTAAAGGTTTTTCAGTGGTAATTCCCACAGGTTCCTGCCTTTTTTTAAGCATTTTTAAGTGAAAATGTTAGGACCACAAATTTGATGTGCTTCCTCTTATTCTTATAGCTGATGAGTGTGTGCTTTTAGCTGAAATTTCAGTTGAAAGCTTTCTGTCTCATGTTTTGTCAGTTAATTTTATTTTCATACTTATATTTTTCCATGTCGTGATGCCAAAATGTTCAAAACCATTTCTCTCCACCATAATTCTCTTTGAACTTTCCTGTCATCATAACATACTCCAATGGGAGTCGACCTAGAAGCTCCAGATCAGTTACACAAATCTACTCCATGTGGATTTTAATCCCAAATCTTTGGTCTGGCAAGCAAGTGACTAGCCACTCCACTAACCTTGCTCCCACAAAAACTGTGACTAAAAATATCTGTATGCATCACTACATAGTAGAGTTTGCTCCAGAGCTTTCTACTAATAGACAAAAAAGAGTACACACAATCATAAAGATCATTCTACTAACATAAATCTTACCTTAAATGGTAATGATGCCCTACTCTGAGGTTGAACAATAATTACAATGCCACATGACAAAACCAGCAGCCCAAATATCACAGCAACAATTATTGCCCAGATTTCTATCTCAGAAAGGTAATCAGCAGCAAATATCAAAAAGGCGGAAAATGCTGTAATAAACAGAGCTGAAACAAAATAGATCTATTTAAATGCTTGCAAAAAAGTGTTGAAAATGATCAAGTTGATTAAATCTATTTCTCTACCCCTTTCCATCAAGTTGATGATTAATTAAATGTATTTCTCTGCCCCTTTCCATCAAGTTGATGATTAATTAAATCCATTTCTCTGCCCCTTTCCCTCAAGTTGATGAATAGTTAAATACATTTATCTGCCCCTTTCCATCAAGTTGATGACTAATTAAATTTATTTCTCTGCCCCTTTCCATCAAGTTGATGATTAATTTAATCTATTTCTCTGCCCCTTTCCATCAAGTTGATAAGTAATTAAATCCATTTCTCTGCCCCTTTACATCAAGTTGATGATTAATTAAATGTATTTATCTGCCCCTTTCCAGCCTTTATCCTCTTTTAGTTTGCCACCTAAAGGTTGAACTATCCCCGTAATTTAAAGAGTTGCATCTTGGGTGGCATACCAGCAGCACACATCTCAGGTACTCTAATTCTTCAGCATTGTATGACCTGGAGATATCACCTGCCTCCATGCATCTCTGTCTTTGGCATTCTCTTTCTGATTTGTGACTCCAGTGTTTGTATTACTGCCTGGTATTTGACAGTCCTGATAGCCCCTGTTATGTGATCTCAAATGGTTTGGTCATCTAGTAAGAATGCAGCCACAAGAGCTGAAGTGAAACAAGAGGTCCCTCTAGGAGAATATGGATGGATGACATTAAAGAGCTTTTAAATAGACAAGGACTGATAATAACCATTGCTGCCCATCAAGCAATGATTGCAAACTGATCTGCCCCATGACACTTAATGGCAGAAATGGAAATTGATGATGAAGATAATACCAGATTGAACTTTCTAGAGACAGCTACAAGAACGTGTGTGTCCTGTACAGGTAAGAGTTATATATAATGTTGCAGCTGATGTTAATTTATTATCTTTCCACTTCTTTTTGGTCTGCCTCATGGTCTATGGCCAATAAACTCCCTTAAAGACAAATATACTAAAAGGCATGACATCCCTATCAAGGTTGGTGGACATAGGTGGGGTGCACCATGGAACTACAAGATAAGAGTATATTTATAAGGTCGGAAGACATTTTGTAAAACAACACAGAAAAGGCGTTATTATGTTATGCTTCTGCAGCTAGTGAGGGTGAAATCCAAGCACATAAAAATTCATCCGGAATGCTGCAATGACAGTCCTCATTAATCATAATTGCATCTGCAAAACTGTCTTGAAATGCAACTGCACTAATTACTTATGTTCTTGTTTACACGTTCCTTCATTTGAAAGACTGAGAAGTTAAAAAAAAAAAGGGGGGGGGGGGGGGGAATACCAAACTTTTGGTTTCAAGTGTAAACAAATCTTAGCAACAGGACTACTACGATGTGAGGAAAAGTCCAGATTTTGATTATAAAAGAAAAGATTGTTTCAATTTACACTAAATGCTAATGAAAATTTGTAAGGAAAAGCCAGGATATTGACAGTAGTCATAAATTCATTTTCAATTTACACAATATAGCTACTGAACAATTTAAGGAAACATTAAGATTTTGATTCTAATGGTAAATATATTTTCAACATACCCATAAAAGCTACCGAAATTTTGACTATTCTGGAGGTAAGACGTGTTGGCTGGCTGCTTTCAGGTGATATCAAAAGTCGTATGAAAAATGGTTCCATTGTTGTTGCTGCTCGTGTGGCAGCATCCATCTTGGTAACACTCATGCTGCCGTGAAGATTCACATCAGCCTCATACCTTCAGAATGTCACAAATAAATACCCATGACCTTTAGAATATGGGGCAAATGGCTTGACCAGTTTTCCACAGCAACCCCACCCTCCCCCTCCAAAAGGGTCAAAACTAAATTCCTTTCCCACACAATTCATGATGACTGGACTACTTATTTAGACTTAAACCCACGAGCTAATATTAATCCCCAAGCTCTACACTGTCTAAAAACTGGTATAATAAAGCAATAAAAGCCAGTGGTGTTTTTCTTTTCTGGTTTTTTTTTTAAAATGAAAAAAAAACATTCTTGAAGTGGCTTCTTTGGTTTGATTTTGATTAGTGATTACTTCGATTTCACAAGGATTTTATCATAAATGATCCAGTGGTCAGTGAAGCTATAACACAAGGAGAATCGCAGCACAGTGCATGAACTCCATTACACCATTGAAGATCAAGATGCTTAGATGCCAGAATCACACATGCAATAAATATTTATTGACCAGAGGATCTGGCCGACGCTCAAAGTTCAGTGACAGGATGAAACGGAAATACAATTAGACGGTTACTGGTGCCATGGAAATTAGAACTCGAATTGGAGAAAAGTTTTACAAAGGTGGGGGTGTCGGCTTCAACCCCAAACCTGAGGGACCAGGGTGTCTTGTCTGTTCTCTACCCTTCAACCTTTCCGGCTTGGGAGGCCCTTCTGGTAGCTATGCTACCACCGGCATAGCTCTCAGGGTCACTGAGAAACACAAGCTCCCCCACCACAGCAAAGTGATGCTCTGTCCCCACTTCTTTTCAACTTGGCCCTGGAGAGAATTATAAGGAAATTAAAATAAGAGTGTACTACAGAAGAAACTACAAGAATACTTGGATATGCTGATGACATTGATTTTGTTGGAGAAAGTGAGCTAGAGACTGTTAAACACTGACTGTTTTAAAAGAATCAGCACAGAAAATTTGACTAGTTATCAATCAAGATAAGACACAATACATGATAATAACTAGACAGGGAAAGGAAATAAACTCCAAAAAAGATTAATTTGTTAAAATGTTTATGAATGTTGAATTAGGAATCAACATCACAGCACTCAGGACACTCCCATAAGTGCTCAGTCCCAATCTTCAGCAGCAAGATAAGAGTTCCAATTCAGTAACCATCTGATTGTATATATGTCTTATTCTTCCCCTTAGTGTTCAGCGTCAGCCAGATCGCCTGGTAACTCCTCGCAGTGCCATTCTCATTAAACGGTAATGATCTTTCTGTGCCTCTGATCACTCGCTCACAAAAAGCCCTCATAATATCTAACTTTTCATACATCAATTCACCATCAAGTGGGGCAGAGCCAGCCAGTCTATCTGCCTGCTCATCCCAACACACTGGCATGGCTTGGAAAAAATTTCCAAAGGATGCTAACTACCTGGAACCTCTGAAGTGATGGTTGCCACTCTGCACAAAGCATGCCTGTTTTCACCTTTCTCAACATGATTTGCGAGTCAGTTACAATCACGGCATGTGTGTACAGCTGATTCTCAGGCAGCAGAGACTGTCTCCACCTCCATTCTCAAACTAGACCTTGTGATATCATATGCAAAGCTTTGCTGCACTAGGCGGCGTCCATTCACCTTTGCTATGAAACCCCCATGTCATTCGTCTGCCCCTCAAACACAGAAGAGCCACAGAAGGAGGTAAAATAAAAATTGGCAAACAATGCCTAAAGCGCAGCCAGTCTAGTAAAATACTTTAAGATATGTTACCTCAAAATAAGCACAGACACACAGACAAGAGTGTAAGCCAACAGTGTTCCTATAGACATCATGTCTACAAGTTCCTTCAGGTTGAACATCATTGCCATCAGCCCTGGTTAGAGAAGGAGAATATGGTAAAGAAATAGAAAATGTTTACTCTGTTTAACAAATAAAGCAAAGATACAGTGTGATCATTGTGAGTTGAGTTGAGTTGAGTCAAGAATTAACATCACAGCACTCGAGGCATTCCCATGCATGCTCCATCCTCATCTTCAGCAGCCAGCTCAGAGTTCTATTACTGATGGTACCATTCACAATCTGGTTGTATGTCATCTTGCCTTTCCTCTGAGTGTAGTGAGCCGGCCAGACCCTCTGGTTACACCCAGGTGCCTCATTCTCTCCAGGCCATAATAATGTTCTATCTCTACTGATTCTGTTGCTTGTTCCCAAAGAGTCTTGACCACATCTGCCTTGTCATGTATCAATTCACAACCCCGTGGTGCATGTCCAGCCAATCTGTCTGCCTGTTCATTACCCACTACACAGGCATCCATAGCCTGGAGAAAAGATCCAAAGTATGCTCACTATCCGTGACCTTCCCAGTGAAACTTGCCACTCTGCTTAAAGCATCCCTGTCTTCACCTTTTTCAGCATTCCTTCAGAGTCCGTTACAATTATGACATGTATGCATTGATCATTGTGATTATCCCTAGAAGGGGTAGGGGGCCACAGTAACAAAGTAGCTAGATAATCATCCGCCAGCTGACCTTGCCTCCTGGAGAGTAAAGGTCACTACACCACTCACTGAGTGCCTACTGGTCTATACAAACATGAGTCTTTTGGAAAATACCCAATGCAACACTGAAGTAAAAGTGATCCTTTACTTATTTTACTAGAAGGGGTCATAAGACATAGATATTACTATTTCTTCAACCTACAATTGTGATTTGTTAATATCTTCATTGACAAGTAGACACTCTGAATATGTAGATGGATTACAATTCTAGACTATGACCAGCCAGTTTATATAGTAGATGCATTGCTTCTTTTTATTATTATATCTAGTTGAAAACAAATTTTGTTTAAAATACAAACATTGACTTATTTTTAGTGATTTCTATACTCTTTTTTTCTAAACATTTTTGGAAAGAATTTTTTTTTAAAACTGCAATTAATAATAACAGAACAAATAAAATGTATGTGATTTTTAGGAAGACTAATGTATAAATCACCTGCAAACAATCCTGAAATTGCTGTCCCAATCAGGGGTGTTTTGAACCTCTCGGACACTTTCCCCATAAACCTAAAAATTACTCCATCATTTGCCATTGCATACAGAATTCTTGGGAGGGGAAACATGCCACCAAGGAGGCTGTGGAAAGATTTTAGAAAGCAAGTATATGAACATCTCTTTGATTTTGATAATGAAAAGACATGATAGATATAACATTGTTTACCACTTATTTCATATATCTTATTTTTTTTTTTAACCAAAATAAATCTCTGTAATGCACACACAAACAAATATTTCTTGCTGAAAAAATTTTGTAAACAATATATTTTTATTGAAAACAATCTCTATCCGGGGCCTTTCGAAACCCTTGAAGTCTTAATAAAGAGTACATTGCACTGACTTAACTCAGAACCTCTAGCACTCGGGGTGGACACCATGCCTCGAGACCACGCAGTGCCCCAGATAACAGGTTTTTATGAACAGAGAGAAAAGGCAAATAAAGTAAAGATATCAATTACCTTGTAGACAAGCCACAGACAGCACCTGCTGTTATAATGTACCTAGCCACTCCCCACCCAACACGGTCAAAGACTGCGGGGAGAGCTGCATCTCTGTCCAGTAGGTAATATGGACACATCAACGTGATGACCGCCGACACACTGAAGTAGGACAGGAATATCAGCAGCAGAGAGACCACAATGCCAATGGGTATTGATTTCTGTGGGTTCTTTGTCTCCTCACCTGGAAAAGAAGTTGGTTCTTAATGTGGACACATCTGGGGAAACACTCAAACTAATGAGTGCAAAATTTTAAAAACAGAGATCAGGTGTCTCTGAAAAACTGCCGGAGCAAGAAGAAAAGCTAAGACTTAAAATGGGAGTCGCTGTGGTGGAGCGGCTAGACGTTTATCTGCAGATCAGAAGGTCATGGGTTTAGGTTCTGACAGAGCCAGACATTGTTCAAAAATGACTTTGGCCCCCAGGTCGACCCAGCTTTGAGTGGGTACCAGGTACATGTTCTGGGAAGTAAAGGCGACCAGCGTGTTGCTGACCACATTACCCACCAAGTGCCGATTGGTCTATATAATATAGGTCTATGCATAAAGGCATGGAAAAAGGTCCTTTACTTCACTTGTACTTTTACATTTACAATAAAGAATTCAGAAGAAACAGTCACATACTTTTTTTTTTAACAGCAACAGATGAGATGGTTTGGCTTTCTGAAAAGAATTCCCTGGTACCAAGTGCTACAGAGAACTACTCAAAAGAAATATAATGAACACAAAACAAATGGGGAGACCACACAGAAAACTGAATGACGGCATCAAGAACAGCTTTAAAGAAATGAAGATCAACTTATACAGTGCATTGGAAAAAGCACACAAAAGATCCTTACACCCCCCCCCCCCATCCCCCCCCCACCCCCATCCCCTAAAACTTTGATGAAGTAAAAGAGAAAGTCAAAAAAAAGATATAGAAGATTCATAAGAGGCTGAATTGTGTGACCATTGTTACAAAAGACCCTTGATTAGCAGCTGGTCCAGGAGGGCAGCTGTGACAGGTGGACCAACAGCACTAATCTTCTGATCTGACAGCATCTGCAGCATAAATTTTTAAAAAAAAGGCCTTTAAGCGCATCGGGCATATGGTAAGAGCACCCATATTTTTACAGACTAATTGGCACCATGTGGGTAAAGTGGTCAGCAATACGACAGCTGTCTTCACTTCCCCAGGACATACATCCTGGTACCCATTTTAGGCTGGGTTGACCTGTGACACCCTGTACCATGATAAAAATCCAGGCAGCAAGCAAGCCTCAGACGCTGGTGCATCTACAGCACGGCTTTGTCCTAAATGTTTTGGTATTACTATATTATTAAACAAGACAGGCAGAGAGGGATCATGTTGTATGAGTGATGCATGATTTTTAAAATACTGTTGACTTTGTGCTATGGAGAGGAAGAGCTTCATCCCTGGCCCAAACCGGTCTCGGATCAAATCCAGAGCAATGGACAGTGATTCTGATCCTCCCTATAGTAAAATCTTCTTCTTCAGGTTCACCGGCTGTAAACTCCGGCAGAAAGTTTTGGTTGTGAGCGCTTTGTGCACATCTTTTTTACAGATCTGACTTATCTGTATGCAGACCGCTGGTTCCTTACCTCTCAGGCAGAAGCAAACCTACTCTGAAGGAAACCCCCAATTAATCAACTCTTATGACATGCTTGTTGGGGAGGTGGTGGGTCTATTCTTGCTTTCCTCACAATGGGGCCAAGGAACCCAGTGGGGAACATGTAGTCTTCTTCTTCTTCTTCGCATTCAGCAGCTGTACACTCTGGTGGAAAGTTCTGGTTGTTCGTCCACTTCTGAACTGCAGTCCTGCTCCAGAGCCTGAGTGTTGCGTGTGCATCAGTTTTACAGATCTGATTCACTTGAATGCAGACTGTTGGTTCCTTGCCTCTCAGGCAGATGCACTCCAACTTCAAAGGAAGCTCCCCAATTAGTCGACTTTTACAACATGCTTTTGGGGAGGCAGTAGGTCTGTTCTTGTTTTCCCCACGATGGGGCCCTGGAACCCACACGGGGAGGAACAAGTAGTAAAATGCAACAACGTCATATCAAAAGATGTTAAGATGTCACAAAATAACAACATTTCTAAAGATTTTAAAGAGAGTTCTCTACTGTCTATAACTCTGTAACAAACAATGATGAGGGTGGTAAGAAGTGCTGGACTGGACTTCATACATAGGGTGAACAAAACTGCACAAGACAGAAAGGAATATCCTCTATGTGATGCATAATGACACAGATACCTTATCCTGAAGCCCAAAAACTTGAGTTCAAATCTTTAATGAGGCAGATTTTTTTTTTTAAATAACTTTTCTTGACTTTAAGGTTGAATCAGGGTAGGAATGTATACTAGAAAATATCCTGGGAAGGTAAACTTAATTATAAAATACTTCACTATCAAGGTCCCCATATAGCTAGAAAATCACTACAAAACGCCTGTCTAACCTATCAAGAAACATTTGTACTTTATTAATATCCTACCCCATGCCTCCTCATAGTGCAGTATAAAAACTATCATCTGGAAAGACGGAAAGGTGCCAATCAAACCCCAGATGACGTCTCAGAATAGGCCAACATTTTAGAGGGTGGTAAAACTGAGTTTCCCGGCTTTCTGATGCTTTTACTGACCCCAAAACATCTAGAAATGGCCCTAACCCAACCCACTTACGTCCCATGACAGAGTGCAGCCTAGGTCCAATGACTGCATACAGCCTAGGTCCCATGACTGCGTGTAGCCTTTCTACCACCCCCTGAAATATTAGACTGTCCCGTGACTGTGGATTTCCCCTGTTTTGGGTAGGATATTAATAAAGCATCCAAACATTTATTATGATGCTCTAGAAGAAAAAATAAATAATATAGAATAGCTCAATTAAAGGTAGCATTTTATAAAATGAATAATATTTTATGCAATCTTCCTTTGTCAATTGAGACAAGAAAGAGAATTCTTAAAAACTTAATAAATCCTATCTTGATATGTGGAAGTGAATCACGGACCGCTGGTAAATTAATGGAAACTTATTTGGAAATGTGGAGATGTGATTTTATAGACAAATGATGAGATACCCTGGACAGATAGAAAGAGTAATCTAGACATCTTGAAAGAAACTGAGTCACGAAGAGAGCTGACTGCCCACATCAGAAAGAGACAATCTACATTCTTTTGTCATGTGTTGAAAAAGAGAAAACTAGAGTACATCAATTAGAGGGGAGAAGAGGCAGAGGATCGGAGGGTTGTGGGTCTGAGTCCTGAAGGACTTTTTTTTTTAAAATTACCTTGGCTCCCATGTCGACCCAGTCAGACTAGAGTTAGAAGAAGAAAGGAGCACTTATGGGTTACTACCTGTGTGCCATGATGTTGATCCGTGGTTCAAAACTTCAATAACTTTAACAAAGAAAAGAAGGTTAACAATAAATGCTATTTTTTAGTAATTATAATCATGCATTCCAAACACAGGGATGACACAAACAGTACTATTGTGCAAAGTGGAAATATCAGGGACTGGCCAGTTTTGTGGCTAAAATATAGGTTTCTCACAAATTTATAAGGGATGGTACTGATAGATTTGTAAGGTATGGCAATGCCTAAAAAATCGATGACTCTGGGCCACATGGGTCAACACCTGGATCATGTGGAATGAGGAACCATTCTTGAAATCTAGGAAAACAAATACACACCTGTGGTAGCTACGCAGTCAAACCCGACAAAGGCATAGAAACAGGTTGCAGCTCCAGCCATTGTTCCTGAGAATCCAAAAGGCATGAAACCACCACTTCCAGCTCCTGCTGGTACCTTAATAGAAATAGAAAAAAAATTAACCTCAGTTACGATAAAGGCACAAGGTCTCCTTGATCTGTGACCGAGTTCTATTCTGACTAACAGCTCATAAGTGATATTTTTCAACACTATGTTTATTCACATGAGTTATAAAAATTGTACAGAAACCACAAAAAGTCATTCTATGTATGTATTGTACATTGTATGAAAAATACATAATATGTACTTTACTGTATCAGTTCAGAACTGTTTGACCCTACAAAAATAGTTATTTTTCTTTATTTTCTATTGTTTGCTATTTTTTTTAATTGTGTGGTCGCAAGTGCCGAGGGTTATAAGTCGCACAGATTATTAGTCAAGAAGAAAGTGTGCTTTTTCTGGTGATACTATGTATAGGAGTCATGGTAACATAGTGGCGAGCTGCTCACCTGCTGGGTCGAAGATTTTTGGTTTGAATCCAAACTGAATTTGATTTGTTTTCAAAACTGTGAGTGGGGGCTAGCGTTGACCATATGGCTCATTGAGTGCCCGCTGGTCTATGAAAACATGAGTCTAAGAATGCATGCCTGCTGTATCACTGGGGTATCATTATCATCATCATTATCAAGTTTTTTGTAGACTGCCATGGATGATCATGCCTCTCCACAATCTGCCATCTTCAACAGCATGTATCACTTTGTATGTTGACATCCATCGTTGCCATGACAAAAAGCTGTCAAAAATGGTCTCCATATTCTTTCTCTGTCTCTTTTTCTATGTATCTTTCCTGTGGTCACAACATGTTCCAGTTTCCTTTTTCTCATAACATAAAAAAAAATGACAAATGTCTCTTTCAAAACATCTGAGTTGCTTTTTTTTTTCTGTCCAAGGAATTATAAGGTTTCTTCTTATCAAATTAATTGTGAGTGTCATTTTCAGACAGTGAATTTCATTTTAAACTGACCATGGATACCAATGTGCAAAGCATAAGTACAGGCTGCAAAATATGCCTTTGAAATTGTTTCAGTCAGATGCTTTTTATTCTGATAGTGATAATGACAGTTTATGTTATTTAGAAAGTCAGATGGTGAATTTATACCAACGGCAGCTGTGCGGTCAGCTTTAGAGAATCTGACAGTTTTGATGAGTCTGACACAGTGAATGTTCTATTGCTACCGTGTCTAGGCACTAAGAGAAGGAAAGTTAAAAACTGAACACATTTTAAAGTGCTATTCTCAAATTTGGATATTCACTGCATCTGTGGCCACAAAACCATGTTGAATAAAGAAATATTTTGCAAAATATTGTCTTTGTAAACACAAAATCTGTTTAATTTTTTTCTCCTACTAAATTAAACATTGATATATCATTCAAATTTAAAATGTACATTCATTCCTTTTTTTAAGAAAATATACTTGTGCAGGGATTAGAAAATATTACGTTCTATATTGCCTGTATTTTATCCCACATCTCTGTCTTTTTGTTTAAGGAAAATTAATGCGAGCCAAGTCTGTCAAAATGCATGAGCCTGAAAGTGCTAAAAAACACAGGAATATCAGATAATTCATGCCAGAGTCTTGAAGTAAAATTTGATTCCAGCTTGGCTTTAAAAAAGTCATTTAGTCCCAAGGAACCCCCCCCCCCCCCCCCCCCCCCCACACAGTTGCTATTTTTAGGTAATGTATTCACATCCTGCCGGAGCTACTGAGTTTAGTGCTCCTGGCGGCACTATGAGCTGCAATTATCGGTTACTGACTGAGTTCCAGATTCGTAAATAATGGCAATGATGGGTGAGGTATTTTTCTTCGTTGTGTTCCTGGGACAAGGCGTGTGCTATAGTTGCTATTTATTTGTTGGCTGTGGCTGTAACTTGGCTGAGGACATGTGGAGAATGGTCAGGAAAAGCTATAATCTACTCATCGCCCAGCTATTCATTGAATGAAGTTGATTTTCAGCGATGACGCCTGGTCTTGCAGTGTGTATAAGGAGGCATGCACCTTATGGTTTGACAGATCAAATCATGTGTGTTTTGCTGACTGAGGACACTTTGTATGACTACAGCATTTACTTGAAGTATCCAGCGTATCTGACTCAGTTTGTGACTGGAATCAACAACTAACTAACTAACTAACTAACTAACTAACATTCTGACCTCCTATCTGTTTGTGGAGGCATGAGATGAGCCAGTAGCATTAACTATGTGACTCGTAAACAGGTCACTATAGACAAGACAGAAAAGCTAAGAGAGAATTGGACCCAGCTGGATGTGTCTGAAAATGAAATGGTTAAAAAAAAAAAGGATGATAGGTAGTAGACAAACAATTAGTCTTTCAATTGGATGCTATCAAAGGTGTGCAATAGGTCTCCAACACTCTGCCTTTTGCATTGGTTTACACTCTTTCAGACTCTGTTCATTGTTCATGGTTTTTTTTTTTAGATCATCTTCACTGCACATCAGACAAGACAATAAGTGCTCTGATCTCATTATGGGTATGTCTCCAAGCATTTTTAGGCTTACAACTCCCATTCTATTGTAATGATGCAATGACGAGTGGCTTCCACATGGTTTTCCTGTCACGCGGCTCCAGTCGTTGCATGAGATAGAAGGATGTGGAAAGATACAACTTCCGATGTTACATGGTATGGACTATGAAAAAAATATTGCGACAGCACTCTGGACAAATCCATAGGTGCTCTGATCTCCTCTTCAATAGCTACACCAATGTAAAACGATATCACTAGTTCTGTATTGATTGACAAAATGTCCTGTGTCCTTGGTGAAGTGTTCATTTATTGCAGTTGCAGGTCCTTCGGCATGTAATAGGGATGTATAAACATCAGGCCTGGGGTACTGGATACACTTTGAAAATAGTGGCAATGGATGAATAAGCTGTACTTTGTGTCGCAGTTTACAAATGGTGAACACAAGGAAGATGAATTGTCATTTCATGTTTTTAATGGTTATCCTACTTTAATTAGACTATCAATGCAGATATTCCTATACGCCTTGATGCTTAACTGTCTAATTAGTGATTAGAAAGGATTATTATCACAGCACTCCAGACAGATCCATAGGTGCTCCGATCTCCTCATCAAAAGCTCCACAAGTGTAAAACGACTGATGATGCCTGTTCTGTGTTGGCTAATGAAACGTCTTGTACCCTTAGTGAAATGTTCATTTCGTGCAACACCAGGAATACGAAGTCATGTCCTGAGGGGGGGGAGGGGCCCTCCTCGGTACGGTAAGTGCAGCACATGGCATTGATAACGTCACTTCTGTCCAGTACTGGACCAGCCATAGCAACTACAGTGTCAGCAAGATAGTCTGCACGCTCGTTCCCTTGAACACCCGCATGACCTGGCACAAAGATTAAGGTTAGGGCAGCTATTCGTGAAGTGCTTAGTGTTGCAATCCATTCTTGCCTGATAAATCCAGCATTTGTTTAAGCATATTCATCGAGTTTAACTGTCTAATATCCTCCTTCATGGTCACTCTCTGCCTCTCTTCCTTCAAATTATTCTCTTGTCAAACCACAACTTCAGCCCCTCTTTCTCATGACACATGCAATGAAAGTGGACTGTCCACTTCTGATGCTTGTATGGGATCTTGTGCTTCTCACTTAGCTATACAAATATTGAAATCCTAGTAATATCTTTAATAACAGCAACATTTGTCTATATACAACTTACATTTTCGAGTTGCCAGTTCTTAAAATCGATCTTGAAGAGGCCGCATATGGTCACATAGAGAACAACCAATAAGTTAACACAGGTGAATATATTGTTGAACCTGGTGGACTCCTTGACTCCTGCAGCCAGCAACACTATCATCGCCAACCAAAAGTAAAAACATTTTCACAGAAGTGAGTTAATGCAGACAATGTTAATGCCCTCTCTCTCTCTCACTCTCTCTCTCTCTCACTCTCTCTCTCTCTCTCTCTCTCTCTCTCTCTCTCTCTATCTATCTATCTATCTATATATATATATATAGTGTATATTTCCTATAGATTTAATACAATCACAATGGCTTGCTGTGGTTAGAAATATAAGTGTAATTCAAGCACTTTCCATTGCTGTTATTTAATATTTGACTGCTTCTGAAAGTGTTGTTGTTTGTTTCCATTCACCAGCTGTAAACCTCAGAGGAAAGTCTTGGTTCTTTGTCCATACTTGGACTTTAACTTTGTTCCAGAACCTGAGTTTTGCATTTTCATCCAGTTTACAGATCTTGCCTATCTGTATGCAGACTGCTGGTTTCTCGCCTCTCAATCAAATGCACTTCAGCTTTGAAGGAAGCCCTTAAATAGTCAACTCTAACAATATGCCAGTTGAATAGCCTTATTTTAGACCTATGTTCTTTAATCTGTGGTATATGGGCCAAAACTAAAGTTCATCTGCTTATATAATAGTCTGGGCTCAATCCTCATAAATGTCAGCATTTTCCCTGGCTAATACAGCAGTGAGGTCAGTCTAGGTTTATTCTTTAAAAATGGTACCAGAAAATTCAAAACTGTTCTGGGAAATTTCTGGTGAGACAAGATAATAAGGAATGGAAAACTGGCCACCTTGCCTCATATTTAGAGTGACCATAATATCTCAAGCTAAAACAGGACATCATTCTTATATTCTGATCTGGAAACAGGACACTATTCTTATATTCTGATCTGAAAACTGGACACCATTCTTATATTCTGATCTGGAAACTGGACACCATTCTTATATTCTGATCTGAAAACTGGACACCATTCTTATATTCTGATCTGAAAACTGGACACCATTCTTATATTCTGATCTGGAAACAGGACACCATTCTTATATCTTATCTGGAAACAGGACATTTCTTATTCTGATCTGGAAAACAGGACACCATTCTTATATTCTTCTATCTGGAAACAGGACATCATTCTTATATTCTGATCTGGAAACAGGACACCATTCTTATATTCTGATCTGGAAACAGGACACCATTCTTATATTCTGATCTGGAACAGACACCATTCTTATATTCTGATCTGGAAACATTCTTATATTCTGATCTGGACACCATTCTTATATTCTGATCTGATCTTATATTCTGAAAACAGGACACCATTCTTATATTCTGATCTGGATCTGATCTGAAACAGGACACCATTCTTATATTTTGATCTGGAAACAGGACACCATTCTTATATTCTGATCTGAAAACAGGACACCATTCTTATATTCTTATCTGGAAACAGGACACCATTCTATATTTTTATCGGACACCATTCTTATATTTTTATCTGGAAACAGGACACCCATTCTTATATTCTGATCTGGACACCATCATTCTTATATTCTGATCTGGAAACAGGACACCATTCTTATATTCTGATCTGGAAACAGGACACCATTCTTATATTTTTATCTGGAAACAGGACACCATTCTTATATTTTTATCTGGAAACAGGACACCATTCTTATATTTTTATCTGGAAACAGGACACCATTCTTATATTCTGATCTGGAAACAGGACATCATTCTTATATTCTGATCTGGAAACAGGACATCATTCTTATATTCTGATCTGGAAACAGGACACCATTCTTATATTTTTGATCTTAAACAGGACACCATTCTTATATTTTTATCTGGAAACAGGACACCATTCTTATATTTTTATCTGGAAACAGGACACCATTCTTATATTTTTATCTGGAAACAGGACACCATTCTTATATTCTGATCTGGAAACAGGACACCATTCTTATATTCTGATCTGGAAACAGGACACCATTCTTATATTCTGATCTGGAAACAGGACACCATTCTTATATTCTGATCTGGAAACAGGACACTATTCTTATATTCTGATCTGAAAACAGGACACCATTCTTATATTCTGGACACAGGACACCATTCTTATATTTTTATCTGGAAACAGGACACCATTCTTATATTTTTATCTGGAAACAGGACACCATTCTTATATTCTGATCTGGAAACAGGACACCATTCTTATATTCTGATCTGGAAACAGGACACCATTCTTATATTCTGATCTGGAAACAGGACATCATTCTTATATTCTGATCTGGAAACAGGACATCATTCTTATATTCTGATCTGGAAACAGGACACCTATTTCGACTAAACCCACTAACCTGAATTGTTTCCTTGGTCATGTGGGTGAACACATAAATTACTGGCTCAACAGTGGTATTAAAAGCTGAACCAATTCTGCTAAGAAATAAATGAAACAACATACTCTTTAACTGCAATTAAAATACATTACAATTACATTAAATACATTACATTAAAATACAATTTTTTTAAAGTATCATAAGCACAATTCATATATTAAAATTTAAACATATGAAACCTAACAAAGTCTACAGAATACAATCATAAATGAATATTCTTCTTTTGAGCTTATTCATAGATTCTTATAAAAAGAAACAATATTTTTTTTTCTGAGCACTGTTGGGACGGCAAAGACACATGGAAAAATGGGAATGTCCCAGTGAAAATGAGACATATGGTCACCCTACTCATATGTCATGACCTAGAACATAGCAATTCAACTGGCGGCCTGCAGGCTGAATTTGGTCCACAGAGGCCAAGGAAGTGGTCTGTGGATCATTGCCAGTTGTACTGTATTAATGATCTGTCTATGCTGGGGCTAAGTACCCTGGCCTTGTGACAATCCCCATTTCCAACACTTTAGCCCATGAGTCGTATAGCCATGACCTAGAATATGTGAAGATTAAACTCTTCGACAATAGCAAATATTAACTGTGAGTCTACCTTTACCCTATAACTTCAAACATGATTTCTAAACTAGGCTACCTAAATAATATACAACATGGCAGTTTCATCTTCTGTAAAAACTAAAGGAACTGTTTTTAAGCCAGTTGTGCATCAAAAATATGATGCTATATTTATATACCAGTAAGCACTCAAGACATTGACATCGTAACAGAAAATGTACCAGAGACAACAAAAGCCTCTTAGAGAAAGCAGCCAAAGAAAGACAGAATACGTGGTAATAACAAGATAGGAAAAATATAATAACTCCGGCAACATACAAATTCATAATATGAAAACCAAACAAACAGAAACACATAAGTGCAAACTTCAACTGCTCCAACATACTAAGAGAAGAAATACAGTCTAAATACAGTCTGAACATAAAGAATACAATGCCCGTAAAATCTGCTATAATCAAAGTCTATGTCTAATGACACTAAGATCAATATATAAAACACTGATAAGACCAGTTGTTATACATGGCTCAGAAACTTGGAGCACAACTAAAATAGATGAGCTTTATTTAAGATTTTTTTAAAAACAGCCTTATGACAAATCTGTTCACTCATCAAAAATGCGAACAGCGGGAAATGGAAAGTGAGAAGCAACAATAAAATTCATAATCTGGTTTAATGACAATTGATCACTGTTATCATGAGGATTAATAGACTGAAATGCCTGAAGCATATTCAGGGAATGTCAGAGGCCAGAGAGGTAAAACCTCTTTACACAATAAATTTGAATGGTGGTAGACCATGAGGCAAACCAAGAAGATGATGGACAGATAATATCCAGGCAGATCTACACAAACCTGGTGCCACAAACTGGTAAAAGATGATGTCACAGAGATGAATGGAGGTGGGTGATATCTGCAGCAATCTTCTTCGTATTCTTTGTGTTCTGGTTGGTTGCTTATCTATCTTCTCACTAATTTAGTGCCTCTCGCGTGATTTGAGTGAGGGATCTTCTGGCCGTAACCTGATCTCTTGTCTGCACATAGGCATTTTACCTATACAATGGCTTAAGATGAAGTAGTATGAAAGATCTCTTCACGCGGTCCCAAATATTTTAAACCACCACTGGGCTGCAACCCAGTAAAAGTGAAGAAGACTATTAGATAAACACTTCAAGTTTCTTTGAAAGAGTCCTGTTCAACAAGCCTGCTCCATTTTTTTCATATCTGGCTTAATTGTATGAAAACTCTTGGAGGCTATTGCACTATTAATTTGTAGACATGCTTATTAGGGGTTAGTGGGTCTATCCTTTTTTTTTCCTATCATAATGGGTCCCCAGAACCCACATGGGGACATCTGCAGCAATGAACCTCAAGGGCTTGGAATGCTGAAGAAGAAAAAAGAATAAGCATGCAAAGGGTGATGTGGTCAACATCACACTGGCAGCCTTTACTTCCCAGGCCATTACCTAGTACCTGTTTTAGGCTGGGTCAAACTGGGAGCCAAAGCCAGTTTTGAGAACAATTTGTTTCAATGCAGACATGAACCCGTGACCTCTATGACTAGCAGCTACACTGCAGAGGTTCCTGCTTCTGCTGTGTTCACCACATTGTATTGTGTTTTACAGCTATGATGCAATATTTGTGCTTTGAACCCAACATTTCTGATTTCAGCAGACTTCATCAAGACATATTTGTAAAGGGAAAGTCTGTTCACCCTCACCCCCCCCCCCCCCCCCCCCACACAAAAAAAAAAAGATCCTGGAACAGGAAACACGTGGTCATTTATGTAAGACAAGATGCAGTTTCCAGAAAATGAGGCAGAGACCAACCTTTGCAACTGTGGATACAGGCCATTAAAGAAACAATGGCTGTGAAAGAACAGTTAGAGAAACCAAGACTTTCAGGCATGCCGTGAGCAAGGTTATATAAAATACAAGCTGACTGACTGATTGATTGATTGATATGTAAGATGGCTGGAATAAATTAAGACAAACAGGATTACATACCTGTTAGAAGAAGTGTTATTCCAAAGGCGAAGAAATCTGGATACTCTGACAACTCACTGATACGTATCGGCATTGTTGCATTGAAAAACTTGGAGATTTTCTTGTCAATTAATGAATCAAAATATGCACTCCATCCTCGAGCAACACTTGCTGTGCCTGGGATAATTGAAAATATATTTCAGTTGGTCAAATCTGACATTATAAACATTTAACAGTTATTAACAATACTTTATGTGTAAAACTGCATTTTGAGTTTAGCGTGGAGCTGACAAGAAATTACATGACAGGATGAAGGTGTCACATGTACAGCCGGTGTGCTGCTGGAACAATCATTATCTACACTTAAAGGCATTTACTGCAGACGATGAAGCACCAACAGGTATGCAGAGTATGCTATGTTGTCAATTCTTAAATCAGTAAAAATGTTGAAAAACATTTCAAAAATAACAATTTACTGTATTTGCTTTAGCTCTTCAGTGTTTCTCCACACCTTTCCTGGTGACATTGTGTAATAATTGTTGTGCGGATACCATAATATACCATGACAAAAAATGTCATAAATAAAATCTCTTGCTGTCATCCTGTATCTCTCTTTCCATAAAACTTTCCAGCTGTCACAACATCTAATGTTTCATTACATGCTCAATTTCTAATAGTGTTCAGAAAGTATGTGTAATAATCCGTCCACACAGAAACATACTCACCCTAAAAGACCTTACATTCTCAAGCTTTTGTCTATTTACTTTATAACCATATGTATATTCCTACGAGCACAACATTTTGTATAGATAGAAGATTATGTGAAAGATTAAAGTTTGGTAGAGTCGAAGTAAAATCTTTTTTTTTTTTGTGTGGGTGTGATATCAATCTGTCTGTCTATTCCTTTAATTTTCCACACATCCCTCCTCCATCCATACATCCATTCATCTACTTGTATGTATGTCTATATTCATAAACATACTGACCGTTCATCCATCCATCTAGCCCTCCATTCACTCACCTGTCTGTCTGCCCATCTACATTCATAAACGCACGCTGCTATGCATATATGCTGAGTTCTACACATACATCTACCATCTATCATACATGTTGTGCTTACCAATAACATACTCAAGAACTAAATTCCATCCAATAACAAACGCCATCAGCTCTCCAACAGTCACGTAACTGTACACGTATGCTGAACCAGCGCGGGGAATACGGGCAGCAAACTCAGCGTAACATATACCTGCGGCAGACATGTAACAAAATATAGCTACATGATAGAATGTTTCAAAGTGGACATAGAAAAAGAGACTAACAGTGTAAATGACGGGTAGGGGAAATCACGGCATCGAAGAAAATTTACAAATATGTAGCATACAAATAGGAATTCCTGTTAATAATTCACCTGACACAATGTACAAGAGAAACAATAGTTGGATAAATGAGATGAGGACTAATGATATGAGAAGAGATAAGGATAGATGTGATGAGATAAGATGAGGATAGGTGAGATGAGATGATGATAGATGGGATGAGATGAGGAAAGATGGGTATATTTATAAGATGAGGACAGATGAGATGATGATAGATGAGATAAGGACAATGAAATGGTACGAGATGAGGACAGATGAGATGAGGACAGATGTGATGCTGACAGATGAGATGATATGAGGACAAATCAGATTAAATGAGACAATATGAGATATGGATAGAAGACATGAGATGATGACAGATTTTATGGGATGAGATTAGGATAGAAGAGATGAGGACAAATGAAATTAGATGAGACAATATGAAATAAGACAGATGAGATTAAATGATGGAAGATTTAATGATGATGATGACAGATGAGATGACATGAGGTAAAGTGAGGTGAGATGAACAAAACTGTTGCTGTTTGTATGGGTGTTCTTTTTTTCCCCATTCCCCCTTCATTGAGCTTCCTAGGCATTGTTCAGTGAATTCATTTTCCTTGATGAGATGAGCTGAGATGAGATAAGATAACCTTCATATAGACACAGGTCTGCCTTTACTCACAGCCACCATGGTGTGGTGGCTAGATGCTTGCCTGCAGATCCAAATGTTGTGGGTTCAGATCCTGACATGGCTGGCTTTTTTTTCTTCCAAAAATGATCACGGCTACCCAGTTGACTGATTCTCATCTTCAACCTGACTGTTCAGTATTCTAACCATGTGACTAATCACTCCTCTATTAGAGCATTCGTCCTCCCCTTCTATGATGCAATTTTTCATTATCTGAAGCCCTACTCTGGCTCTTGCCAGGGGCTGCAATATAGCCCGACCATTAATATGGTCTAATGGCTGAACGCGGTTTTCGGGACCTCTCCACGGGTGATCCTCATCCACATGGTGGCACTTTGTGTCATCGGGTGTTTATCGCTTGTGTGATGTCCTAGTGGGATAAAATGTACTGCTACTACTACTACACTCCTCTAGAAATATTGATATGTAAAGGAGATGAAGTATCACAACCATGTAGGCAGCAGTCAGTCAGACAAACATGTGAACCGCTGGGATACCAATGCTAGCATGATACATTTTCAGTCTTAAAGCCAGAAAAGCAGAACAGATAAGAAGATTCTAAGTTGTCTTGGGTAGCACCCAGACGGTAACAATTATTTATACCACAGGTATGATGGAATGCTAGGGGAAATCACTATTGCAAATCAATAGTATACCCCTAGTACAATTTTAATCTACAAAGACTTTTTGTGCATACTATAGGAAGAAGAAATAACACAAAAACTAAACAAATGGTAAGCTTGATGGGAAAAAAGCAATGAGAAGCCAATGAGAATATTATTAACCTGGTTATGGCTTGCCAAATAACATAATTGAGGCAAGAACATAGATCTGATCCAAAAGACTGGTCTTTCTGTGGGATCGTGAACCATGAATAACCATCAGTTACTCCTCGCCCCAATTTTTCTGTTATTTTAAAGCCCCACCCCAGATGTAGCGGGGGCCTAATATAACCTAACAGTTGAACTAGGTTTATGGGATTTGTACCCAGGTGATTTCATCAAAATGGCGGCATTTTGTGTCACGACATGTTTATCACTTGTTGTGTGGTCCTGGTGGAGTTAAACTTCACTCAATCATGAACAGCCATATTTACTGCCTAGGCACATTATAATAAAGATGCCCAGGTTTGTCAGTGATGGATATGGAGTGGCCAGGAAGCTTCTGGGATAACCCAAAGTCTGAAATAAGTGTTGTGGTTGTTGCTGTTGTTATTGTTGTTAATGATTGTGGTGGTGGTTATGACAATGGCGATGATATCTACCTGCCAAAGCAGAAGCCAGAGCAGCCACAAGGAAAGATATTGTAACCGATGGGCCAGCATTTTCCAGGGCTACTTGTCCTGTCACAACATATAAACCAGCTCCCAAAGTGCTGCCTATGCCTGAGAGATTAAATGTGACATTTATACTATTAATACAACAAATATAATGGGTAGGCTGATGGTTTTGCTGCACTGCTTCTGTGAGTGGTGATCTCCTTAATGACCAGAGAGTCTGGCCAACTCACTACACTCAGAGGAAAGGCAAGACGGACATAAAACCAGATTGTGACCGGTACCATCAGTGTTGGAACTCTTATAGTCCATGCTGTAGGGTATTGGTGGTCATGCTTGCCCAGTCTTCAGACTTTTGTATTTATAAAACAGATGTTATTCCACCCTAAGACTGTTACTTCATCCACTGGACATAACATAACCCTTGACCCATTAGGGTCGTAGAGGTGTATTGATGGAAGCACTAGCAGATAAAACCCGCCCTCTTTGTCTTCTGCTTGATGAATAAGTGTATAAAAACTTAGTCCTGTCCATTTTTTGATGCTGTCATTCCTGATTCTTCTTTGCCCTCCTCATCTTTGACTACCCCCCAATGTTCCTTGAAGTACAGTCTTTGCAACTGGACAAAACCCTTCTGTATTATACTGGATTCTCTACTATGCTGCATTAAACACTGTACTACATTCTATACTATACTGCAGTCAGTACTGTCTGGATAAAAATAAATGTGACATCAATAACACTGGAGAAACATTTATATTAACTTGGGCAGATAAAATTACAGACAGGATCTCAAATTAGAAATAAGTTAGGCTTTCTGTAATTGAATTAGAAAAAATTAAACACAGGATTGTATGTGGTATCAGTTACACTGCAGGAAAAGAGGATATTAAAGTTTTAATTGAGATAAAATTACAAACGCTTAAAAAAAAAAAAAACCAGAAGAATAAGGATGGAATTACAGACAGTGACACAAGATAGACAAAAAATAATTAATGAAATAAAAAAAGTCTTAAAAAATTTTGTTTTCTGATGATGACATTCAAGCCCATCAGGAAAAATTATACATAAATAAAAGGGGCTGCTGGTCCTGCATACAGCCTTGTACGTGGTAGTGTGGTTAAGATTACCCAAGACACAGGGAGCCCAAACGTACAGTGGTAAGGTGTATACAAATCAGCCCAAAGGTCTTGGTTTGAAATCATTATTGCCCCTGCGTGGGCACTGGGGCCCTATTTGAGATGGAAATAAACCCACTGCCTCTCTAACAAAAATCATGTCAAAACAGTTAACTAATTGGGAGCCTCTTTTGAAGTCGGAGTACATATGTCTGAGAGGCATGTAAACAACAGTCTGCATACAAATGAGAAAGATCTGTGAAATGGATATGCACACAAAACTAAAGTTCTGGAACAGGACCAAATTCCTGAAGTGGACAAACAACCAGAACTTTTCTGCCGGAGTTTACACATGGTGTAGGCTAAGAAAAATAAGAAGTAGAAATCATCAATGAGGCAGTTTTTTTTAAAAGTTTATTTTACAGTTTTTTTTTTACTTATTATTAGCTTTGGTTGCCAGGCTGGCACAGGCTAAAACAGGCTCCAGGAAATGTCACAGGAGGTTAAGCAGCTGAGATAATGTTGAGCCTCTGGCTCACAATCAGTCCTTTACTTTTACTAGAGACACTTTTTAAGAGCAACTGACCAGGGGGACACACTTTTGGATTTTAGGGTTATTCAACTAGCAGCTTGCGGACACTTAGCAAGTGGCCTGCGGATCACTGCCAGTTGTACTGTATACCTTTCTATGCTGGGACCATAACGATCCCCCTTTTGAAAATTGGTGTCCCTGAATAAACTTTGTTGAATATTCACTGGCATCCGTCCGCCTTTCCAGACGATATTGTTATATTGCGCTATGAGGAGTCATAGGACTCACAGCCCGTGGGGATGGCAAATGTGACTAGCAAGACACGCTCGTGTTGAGAAAAGTCTTCAGCAGGGGATTTTATGGTCATTGTTTTCAAAATTTGTTTTTATCTGTTCTTTTCTCAGACGCTCAGTTCTCATCCTTTCTACAATAATTGCTCCCTTAACTCTCATTCCTTTCCTGATGTGTCCACTTCACACAGCATAGTCCATGGCATTTTATCTCCACAAGTGCACCTCAATATCTTTATCATTTATGTCCTGATTTCACGCATTTTTTTTTTCGCGTAGTAGAGGTCAGCCTCAAAATCGTCTATCTGTCTTTAATTCAACACAAAGGATGTCCTTGGGGACTCTGCCATCCTCAATTCTCCAGGTGGTGACCCAGCCACCTGAGCCTTCATAGACTTAGCATTGAGAAGGCTGTAGTGAATAGGCTTGCTTTATTCAGTCAAGTCTTTTTTAAGAATAAGGAACTGAATACACAAATTTTGAAACCACTTGTACCTAATCCAATGAGGTCAGTTGTAGTGAGACATCTGTTGAGAGTGGACTCCTCCAGATCATTTTCTGTTATGATCTTCTTACGAGCAAATCGGTGCAACAAAAATCCAACAAGTCCCATTGTTTCTGTGGAAATACAAAAGCATTATAAATGTGTGCACCAACAATAAGGTTTCCCTGTTTATATAAATAATCTATTACAGATGTGGACATTGATAATAAGATTTCATAGTTTAAAAGAGTAATCTATAATATATTTTCATACAGACAATAAGGTTTTATGGTTTAATAAAACAAAGTAAGGAATGATATTATATATGTGGATATTAGCAGTAAGGATTCACTGTTTAAAAAAGTAATCTATAATATATTTGCACACATACAATAAGATTTCCCTGTTTAAATAAGTAATCAATTACAGATGTGGATATTCACAATAATTTTTCATGATAAAAAGAGTAATCTATAATATATGTGGATATAGGCAGTAAGGATTCATTGTTTAAAAAAGAAATCTATAATATATGTGCACATAGACAATAAGGTTTCATTGTTTAAAACAGTAATCTATAATACATGTGGATATTAACAATAAAATTCCACTATTTAAAAAATTATTCTATAATACATGTTCACATAGCCAATAAGTTTTTTTTTTTAGATAAGGGTATTATAAGACCCCCCCCCCCCCCCCCCCCCCCCCACACACACACACACAATCTTAGGAGACTTTAACAATGGAAAAAAATTGTATTTAAAAAAAAGTGTTAATGTATTTAATAAAGTTTCATTTTAACAAATGATTTATGACAACTCCTGCCCAAGTGATGTGATTATCTATACAGATGGCTCTGTGTCGAGGGGGCATACGAAGTGCATGGGGTTTCTTAGCAAAGGCGAATGGACATCCCCCAGTGAGGCAAAGCCTAGAATAATGTCTAGTTTGAGAATGGAGGTGGAGGCAGTCTCTGCTGCCTTTCGCTAGCTTGAGAATCAACTTTACACACATGCTGTGATTGTAACTGACTCACAGAGCATGTTGAGTAAGGTGAAAACAGACATACTTTGTGCAGAGTGGCAAGCATCACTTCAGAGGACCCAGGTAATTAGCATCCTTTGGATATTTTTTCCAGAGTATGTCGGTGTGTTGGGAAATGAGCAAGCAGATAGACTGGCTGGCTCTGAACCATTTTGGGGTGAACTGATGTATGACAAGTTAGATATTGTGAGGGCCCTTTGGGAGCGAGTGAACAGTGCGGAGGTGCACATAGATCATTACGGTCTAAGGAGAACGGCGTTGCGAGGAATTACCAGGGGATCTGGCCGACGCTCAACACTCAGGGGAAGGATAAGACAGCTATATGATTAGACGGTTACTGGTACCATCTGAGCTGGAACTCTTCGCTTGCTGCTGAAGATGGGGACTGAGCACTTATGGGAGTGTTCTGAGTGCTGTGATGTCGATTCTAAATTCAACATTCAAAATATTGTTTCAGGTTTATTATTACATTTAGGCTACTACAATACTACTATCTTTTGTTTTCACTTCTGGAATTTAGCCTTGACGCCTGCTGGTCTGCTCATCTGGATCTTCCACATAGATTGTTTGAAAGCACCTATGCTGTCCTAGTTTGCCGCCCTTATCTCATGTTAGTCTGTGGATCCACTAACCCAGTTACAGTTGAGGTTACATGGTGGGGATGGGGGGGGGGGGGGGCGGGGTCAGTTATGTCATGTGTCTCTTATCATTTCCTATACAGGCACAAAGATCGGGGCCAAAGTACCAAAGCACAAGACATTTTACACTGTTTCTGAACTTCTTTTGGTACCAGCCTACGATTGCTTCTGAGATCGTACGCCCGTGTGTATTGTTGCGCACGTAAAAAAAAAAATCCCTTGGCAGCTGTAAATCGAAAAGAGTAGCCTAGCAGCACTGCCGGGGCAGAATCTGGAGTTAAAACTCTGCCCAAAGTATTTTAGGATCCTCACCAGTGCTACAGAGTCTGAGCACTGTGCTTAGCTTCTTTGTGAAAATACAGTTAGAATCAGTTGAACCAGGCCTTTATTAGGCGAAGCGCAATGGTACGCAGTACTAGCACATTTTCTATGCATAATTTGTAAGTGTTACTGTAACATAAATTGTCACCATTATTGAAATAACCAAATATAAGTATGACTGCAAATAGACAGATTACAAACACATATTCAAGCCAACATAAAGCTACATGTGCCAAACAAGGACACTATCTATAGCGCATGTACACAAAATTACATCTTGCGAGATGAGATGCTTGAGAAAAGCCGCCAACCTTACCATACGAGATCAAGGGAATAATGAGACTGTCATACAAATTAGGGGATACATCTTGAAACGACAGATCAGGTGGTTTGACCATCTCGTTAGAATGCAGTAAGAACAGGTACCATCAGGCACCACGCTTCATAAGATCAGCTACACGATCAAGAGCACGGCCGCGGAAAACATGGATCGACAACATTAAAGACACTCTACGCCTTCATGGCATGACAATAGCCAGTGGCAGCCAGCGTGCACTGGATAGCAAAATATTCCACCCAACGTCGCTTAACGGCAGAAGTGGTTTATGATGATGATAACTGTAACAGAATCTTCATAGTGAGCACCGGTCTCGTTTGAGAAATGTCATTGTGAGTGCCGTCATCCTTTTTTTTTTTTTTTTTTTAGGAATAACAACAACAACAATAGAAAAGAAAAGAAAGAAAAAGCCCCGAGTAAATAAACCGATTCAGATTAACAAGCTGTTGTAACTACTATCTGAGAGTCAGACATGTAAATTGTCTTTAGACTAATGAACCTATGATGAGATTTATACAGTACTATATAGTACTTAAGGAGGAGTTGTTAACAATCTAGAATTTATCTTAAGGAAGAGTTGTTAACAATCTAGAATCTATCTGCGGGAGAATCTATCTGCACCACTGGGTGGTGAATTTATACATGACAAGGCAGATGTTGTCAAGGCCCTTTGGAAACAAGCAACGGAATCAGTAGAGAAAGAAGATTATTATGGCCTGGAGAGAATGAGGCACCTGGGTGTAACCAGAGGGTCTGGTCGGCTCACTACACTCAGAGGAAAGGCAAGACAAAACAGACATATAACCAGATTGTGACCGGTACCATCAGCAGAGGAAATATGCGCTGGCTGCTGAAGATGATGACGGAGCATGCATGGGAATGCCCCGAGTGCTGTGATGTCAATTCTTGACTCAACTCAACTCTGTGGAGGACGTACACCACGTCGTGACATTGTGATGACGAGCAATTCTGGCGTAGGTTCGTTTATGTTGTGGCCGCTAGTGTGTGTAATTTTTACTTTGCGTATGCCCGCTATAGGATTTTTTCTGTGACCGAGAATTTTTTTCCCCACACGTTTGCAAATAGGACATTTTGAGAAATTTGTACTGGTATAGTAAAGGAGCAACTGACAGGCGACCAGTCTGTAGTGGTGTTGAAACCTCGTCTAACGCCCAACGATTGTTAAGTCAAAGTGACCGATACCACATGTCGCCACCATTGCATTTTTTTTTACACACACGCCCCATCGTGCACACACGCCACTTCGCGCGCATGTGTGCAGGGTTATTTTTCTGACAGTAGTGTTACTGTAATACCAAAATCCTCGGAACGTCCTATCTCTCTAAGGGCATTGACAATTGCGTGATCCATGGGCCAGCCATCTTCAATTAATGCTGCAACTGCCATTCTATCCGCCTTTTTATTACCAACAAAACCTGCATAGCGTGGAGCAAATATAAAGGTAACTGTACACACATAAGAGTTTTGCAATGACTCAATCCACTGTCTGCGTAACCAGCCTGCCTTGACCCGCCGTTAACGTTTTCAATGTTACTGTAATAGACACTGTTTTGGTGTGTTCTGGCACCTTTTATAGACACCTTCTGAGAAGTATCAACATCTTTTTTCTTGAAAAAAAAAAAAAAACCTGTGTGTGCGCGCGCCGCACATACATATGTGTTCGTGTGAGTTGAAAGACGGAAAGGTGCCAGCAACAAACCAAACTCTAAGACAAGGCGATCAAAGGAGACAGATCCCAATACTGTCCCGACAGGCGACAAATTCGTCTACCGGCCAGCCAATGGGCGACCCTGTTGCCGGTGTACCAGCACTGATAAGATGAACCATACATAATATTTTTCAATTCAGTTCTCCCTCCCCTATCCCAAGTGAACTCCTGCTGTCTGCTACATAAAGGCTTGACGCTGTTACTGCCCTTGTTTGTTTATTGCAATGTGCCCTTTAATGTTGACATTTACTTTATGCCTGTACAATTTTTTGCCAGAGTTATACCAAGACAAGACGAGATCGACGTGCCCTTGTGATGACATGTGATGACAATACCCTTTCATTTACTCCCCGACACTAGTGTCCCGTCAAGTGCATAACCGAGTCAACCACGGGTTGGCGTTCACTTATGACACTCGTGCTTATGTCGTGAACAGATATGAAAAGATATCAAACCGAACCAAAAGTGGACCCAGTAAACTTTTTCACATTATCACAAACACAAAAAGTTATTAGCTCGCTAGCTCCGATAAGTTGCACATGCTCTTATCTCGACAGTAAAACCCGAGCCAGAATCTATATTTTAAGTTACGATGTCAATTATTGTAACTGCGAGTGTAGCTATAGAAACACACCCACGTGACAAACCTATCATTTCTTGAGAGGAAACAAAATTTATCTATAAAGTGGGTCCTTAACGGCATAGTAGATTACGTGCATGGGGGTTCATAGCAAAAAGTGAATGGACGTCGCTTAGTGCAACAAAGCCTGGCATATGATATCACAACGTGTAGTTTGAGAATGGAGGTGGAGGCAGTCACTGCTGTCTTATCTCTATCCGATAGAAAGATCCGATACAGAATGTGGCAACGCGCATCATGGCTGAGAAAGATCCGATATATAATGAGGCAATGTGCATCGTGGATGAGAAAGATACGATATATAATGAGGCAATGTGCATCGTGGATGAGAAAGATCCTAAATATAATGAGGCAATGTGCATCGTGGATGAGAAAGATCCGATATATAATGAGGCAATGTGCATCGTGGATGAGAAA